AAATCCCCCTCCAAACCCCGCTCCAAACCCCGCTCCGAGCCCCCTCCAAACCCCTCTCCAAACCCCGCTCCGAGCCCGCCGGGAGCTGCCGGGAGGCCCCTGGCGATGGACGGGGAAGCCGCCGCTGGCTCGCAGAAGTCAGAGCCCACCCAGAGCCTGGAACAGCTCCGGGAGGAGCTGCGGAAAGCCAAGAATGACCACAACATGGCCACAGGTACCGGGGAAGGTGCCCAGAACAACCCTCCCCTGCCCAGCTCATCGCGTGCTCGTCCTCTGACCGCGAGAGCATCGCGGGTTGTCACTCAGAGAGCGAGGCTGAAATGCCACCTGCTTTGAAAACACTCTTACTCCTCTTGAAGAACATGAGAAACGCGTATGGGAAGGCCACAGTTAGGTCACCCTGAAGCCTCTTCCAGGCTGAACAAACCCACATCCCAGCAAAGCACCACAAACCACGATATCGCTTCCTTGTGCTCACCTAAGGAGCCACAGAGCTTTTGGCCTAACACAGCACTCCCACCCTACAGGTGCCATCTCCTCCTTGCAAAGACAACTGGAAATCCAGGAATCTGAGCTTCGGAGACTCAGATACGAAAATGAAACGCTTCAGAAGCAGCTCAGAGAGCAAGAGGACCAGCTCCAAGCCATGTCTGACAAGGTACAGCCCGAGTGGCCGTGGCTGTCGGGAGAGCTGGCAGCCGGGAATTTGGGATTTACGCAGCAGTTCCCTCTCATAGGCAGGAGGGGCACCTGGAACCGCGAGACTGAACTGTAAAATATTCTGCCTTCAGTTTTGCAGCCTTACAGAGGAACAGAGGAAGGAAGAAGTGACAGTGATGATAGAGGAGGAGAACCACAGTCTTCGACAGGTGAATGTGGTGCAAAGCCACCAGAGAGAATTCTGGTATTTTCTGCTTCGCTGGGCTTGCTTGGCATATAATCCCCCTACTCAATCCAAGTAGCTTTAGAGAAAATGCCAAGTAATAACAGTTACTGGATATTGGTGATGTTGTTAGTCCATAGACTCTGCCCAGGAAATACCAGAAGCATTTGGACCAGATACTGGGAAGATGAAGCCAAACCTGCTCACCTTCCTCCCCACAGTAACAGCTGGATTTCTGCATCTGCTCAGGTTGTGACAGAACAGGAATCCCAGCTGGCTAAGCAGAACGAGCAGATCAGTGAGTTAGAGGGGACAATCAGACAGCTACGGGTCGAGGTTGTGACCAGCCGCCGCCACGCCCAGGAGCACAAACAGGCCCAGGAGGAGACCAAGAGCCAGCTTGAGGCACTGCAGCACAAGGAGGTGCAAACCAAAGTGGCACTGGAACGCATCAGCAGCAAGGTAAACACGGCCTCTTTCACCTCAGAGCCCTGCCTCCCTCCTGGGACACGCTTGGGAACCTCAGCCCATTTGCTCCCCAGCTGTTTAGCAGGCAGCTCTTACACCACTTACAGTGCAAACAGGCCTCAAATTCCAGAAGCCCTTGAGAAACTCGAGTTCAGAACAGTTACATCACCAGATTTCTAACATCCTTCCAGACTCAAGGTAACAGGAACCACCTTAAAGCCCCTTCCTGCAGGCAGATGTGTCTGATGCCTGGGGAAGGGCCGCAGCCCACCCAGCCCCACACCATTACCACAGCACTTGTAATGAAACCCAAAACACCCGTAATTTCTCGTGAACACTTTCCATCTCATCACTCAGCAGTACTTTGCCCAGGCCTGACAGTGCAGTCTCTCATGTAAATCCATGCAAATGTCAAGGAATTATATATAAAGACTAAACACACCTGCTTCCCTCTTTTATCTGAAGTTTGAAAGGTTACGAAGCAAAATCATCCAGGCTGCGTTCAGTGTGGAGGGCCAGGACCCCCCCCAGGCCGAGCTCACGGAGGAGCAGGTGCTGGAGGCAATGCAGGTACGTGGCTCCTCCAAACTCTGCTCCCAGCAGCCAGGAGGGGACTGCTGAGGTAAGAGAACACCCTGCAGCACTGCCCTTCCCCTCGTGCATTCCCACCTCTCTATGTATCCCTGACTTTCAGAGGGTTGCTGATGAACGGATGGAGTTCTATAAGATGCTGAAGGAGAGAGGGATCAAGGTGCCTCTGTACTACAGCAACATTTACCCTGAATCACCTCCCAAGAGGAAGAGTTCTCCCTGAATGGCAAAGCTGCCCTGATGGCTGAGCCAGAAACCACCACCAACTTCAGGCTCTGGGTCCTTGGCTCTGAGCTGGTGACCTGCAACAAATTAAACTCATTTTACTGAAATCGAGTGCTGCAGGAGTATCTGATTCAATTGTTTCAGCAGGTCACTGTAAGTCCTTGGTCTGTAGAAACACTTGACTTCCCAGGGAAGCCCGAAGTGCAAGCACTGGTTGGCTACAAGCAGCTGGGAAGTGTGAAATTCCAGTTTTTGAAGTGCACAGCAGCTGCTTTGGGAAGTTTGTAAGTGAGGTGACTGAACATTCACCAATGCCAAAATGAGGGACAGTGCCATGACTGCAAGTACTGTTTTATTTTTCCATTCCATATGCAAGTCCCAGCATAGGGATGTATTTGACACGGTATCAGTTCAGTCAGAGCTCCGAGAGTATCATTTTTAAGAGAAAAGAGTCTACCCTGGCTGAGGGAGAGCTGCAAGTTCACACTGGTGCTTGCCTGGGTGCAGAGGTCACCCACAGACTGCCCAACTGAGAACTGCCTCAACTGCCTGTATTTTGGGAAGTGTCCCTAACCCTCTCCATGTGGGGTAGGACAGAACCCCCCAGGAGGGTCACTCTGGCACAAGTGTCTGTATTCTGGGGGGACAGGGAGCTTCAGCAGTGTCATCAACAAAGCCCATGCTCTATCACAGTAAATCACCAGCCACACAGACAGTCACTACAATTTCCACAGGGATCAGGATGGCTCTGAAATACTCTGGGACACACAAACCCTGCAGGCATTTCAACTGACCACTTAAAAATGGGAGCTGTGTTCATGCCTGAACACAGAAACTGTCACTTTAAAACTCATCCCACAAGTTCTGACAGCAATTAAATGCTTCTGACAGCAACTAAGTGCTCACAGTAACTCCAGATAAAAACAAAACTATAAAGAGCGAAATGTCAGCAAAGCGGTTTGGCCTCTTGACCCTGAATTGTACCCATCACAGGACCCCTGCTCCACACTGTCACCTACTGCATTTCTCTGCTGCCAAAACAATGATCCAGACGAAACACGCCAGGAAGAAAAAGGGATCTTGCAGAAAATTTGGGCTGCATTTGTTTCAAATATCATGATGATTTTCTTTACAAGTTGCTGCTCTCTGATGTCTGACGCCTCCTCGGCCATAAGTCCACGTTGGAAGACGCTGCTCTCCCTGCCCCGTCCCAACACCAACGATCTCTGTTAAGGCTGAAAGATTTCATTTCTCTTTGCTGCAGCTCCTCAGACTCTGAAGCTGTTGCCTCCCCAGCAGGATGCTCTGCATCTTGTCTTTAGAAACCCCAGCCCCCTGGGGTGCACGGGCTGTCGAACGTGGGGAAAAACCAAAAAGAACACAGAGTCCTCTCCTCAGCTCAGACAGCTGCTAACGGATCACAGTCAGCAGGGAGGACACTGTGGCCAGGTCAGTTTTAGAAGGATAAAGCACTTTCAAGTTTCCATCCGTGTCCACCACTCGCACCTGCTCCAGCACCAGCGGCAGGATCCCGGGCTCCAAAGCCCCTGGTCCAGAGACAGCATCATCCAACTCGGCATCCGAGCCTGAGCCCTCCTTGTTCTCCAAGGTCAATCTGTTCAGTTCTGCAATTTTCTGTTAAAGCAAATCACAGAGAACAAGATCAATTCCGTGGCAGAGAATTAACAAGAGGGAATAATAATACTGCTAAAACACAAATCAGCTTCTGTGTTCTTCTCCGTGCACTTGAGCAATGACACATTTGGTAGGAGCCCACCAAGAAGAGACAGGATATTTTCCTGAGCTCCCTACCAGGATGAGCGTGTCCATCACATCTTTGCAGATCTG